CCACCGTTGGCGGGCGCAGTCTCGAGCCCACCTGATCCCACCGCCCTTTCCGGGGCCCGCCGCCCACTCTCCCGGCGGCGCGCGGGCGAGTCTGTCAATCGCCGCGTCGCCGCCGACGTCCGACGCGACCGACGCGGCCGGGCAGTCGCCTCACGTCGGCAATCGGCGCCCGATGACGGCCGTCTTATGAGCGGCGCGTCGGCGTCGGCTCGTCTGACGCGACGGAGCGCTGTTTTTTCGCCGTCGACAGCGGCCAGCTGCGTTTATTGATGTCAAAAGGAACTTTGATTGTCTGGCGGCGATGGCGGCGGCGGCGTTAAATTACATCCGTCCGCCGCGGCCGGCGGACAATGAAGAGGTGCCGCCGGCCGGCCGGTAGCGGTTCACCGAAGGTCAGTGGAGCGGGCCGCCGGCAGCGGGAGGCTCCGGCCCCGGCACCGGGCCGCATGCGTGCGATCTGGGACGGCAGGCCGGCGACGGCGGGGCGTGACCTTCGAAAAAGCTCTTAAATTTCGTGTACCTCCTGAAGCGTATTCTTTTTCGAAACCGTTTGTATTTTGTATCATGACTTGTCATACAGACAGGGTTGATGCCATTATTCCGAGGTTGGCATGAGTCAGCTGGCTCCACCTAACCTCACTTCCCTGCCACTGCCGGGCATGGTATGGGCATAAGCCAGGCACACCCATGGGTCGGTGTTACTCTGGACAGTGTCGACCGGGGGCACTTATAATTGAATGCTAATGCATGAGCTGGATACTGGCTTCAGCAATAAAACAATCACTGAAACAAATGAAGTAGTAAAGGTATGGGCTGTATTTTTATGCGGGTACCTATCAGGGGATGAGAACTTGCACGACGCTTGTTGACGTACCAGATCATCTCGCGTCATAAATCCATCACAGTTGTATTTAATAACATATTTCAAACTCCACTGGATGTCTAGCTCATGTATCGCAAATACCCGATGGACTTTGATTGCAGATTGAGAAGACTCCGTTATAAGCCTGCAAGTTTTCATTCGCCCAGGCCTCACAAAAAAAAACTAATGAATGTGTCAGTGAAGCCAGCTTTCCCGCATGTGCACGCCTCGTGCACTACCTGTGTGACAGGCCGCCTCGTCCGGTGTTTTGATGGTCACATGCCCGGCCTTGCTTTGACAGAAGATGTCAGATGCCGTTGATTTGCAGCATATTGCTGCTCGTGTCTGAATCCCAGCGAATGAGCTCTTATGACCCGAAGAAGCATGCCCGTCATCACCGCCCGGGGTCCTGCGCCGCTGCTCGGCTGCATGACGGCGTTTTTTTCCTAGGACAAGGTTTTGGGCGGCTGCGTTGGGTCGAGCCAGAGACCTGCTCTATCTACTTACTTTTGATTCTGTCCCCAACGATGAACACTTAAGTACCCGGCTTTCATTCATGTAAAGAGATTCGAGCGAAACAGGATAGTTACTCGTGTGACTCGTTCTACGCCACTAAGTGAACACCAGTTATAATGTTGTGCGCACTCAATTGTCCAACACGTACGCCATACATCTCTTCATTGCATTTCGTCTATACTTCACTTGTCACTTGCAGCCTCACTACTAACACACCGCATTCGTTTTGCATGTTTTTTCCTTCTTCAAAAGTCTCCTCCATGCGTGATGTTTTCCGCCTGGCGCGCTGGCCTAGTACTTGCCTCCTCAGCCCCATTGTGTTTTTCGGCCTGGCCCCGCTGTCTGTCGCTCTTTCTGCACTTTAATTATGTCTGCTTGTTTGTCTTCGTCTTTCCGTTTGTCAGCCGCAGAAGATCAGACCTTTCTCTAGGTCGATCTGTCTTTCACTCCTGTATCCCCTCAATCACACTTTCTTACTTTACCTTGCCCATGTCCCTCACTGTCTCTCTCCCTCTCTCTTTCTCTTTGCCATCTCCTCTCTCACGAGAGAGAGAGAGAGAGAGAGAGAGAGAGAGAGAGGAGAGAGAGAGAGAGGAGAGAGAGTAGAGAGAGAGAGAGAGAGAGAGGAGAGAGAGAGAGGAGGAGGAGCTGAGATGGGGAGGGAGATAGAGAGAGAGAGGTGAAGAGGAGAGAGGGAGAGAGAGAGAGAGAGAGAGAGAGAGAGAGAGAGAGAGAGGAGAGGAGAGAGAGAGAGAGAGAGAGAGAGGGAGAGAGAGAGCAGGAGAAG